AAAATTATTGAGACCCGTCTTTGCACGGAGGAGTATGTTGTTGAACTCTGTTTCTATATCCTAATATATTTTAGAAGTATCCAATATAACTTTATTAAAACTATGGAAAACATACTCTTATTAATCTATTAATTACAATCAAATATGCTGTACTTAAATTTAATAGCTCAATCATATCACAAAATATCTATAGAAAATTTTTTTATAGTTCTAAAATTATTTCAATTAATAATATAGATATGTGTGTTTAGCAACTGTAAAATACGTCACAACAAAAAAAAAATTGTAAGTTTAATCACACGTTTATAAATCATTTTTAATGTCTTAACGATAATAAATTTAAATGATAAATCGATTTTTATTGATACTAGTAATTTCAACTATGAAATATTTAAATTTTGTAATAATATTATATAAACAAATAATTTTTTAACTAAAGGAAACGAAACAGAAAATTTTATAATCACAAATTTTGAGTAAAAAAAAATACTTGTACAAAAGTTAAACAATATTTTAAAAACGTAGGTTTAAATGATAATAATTTTATAGTTAAATATTTATTCATTTATTTCAAATAATTTAGACTAGGCGGCTTTTTAGATTAATTTCACTGTAAGAAATGATCTAAAAATTCCCAAACGTCAGTATAATATTTTTAATATACACGTTAATTTTACCCATTAATTCTACCATTAGAAATAATTTTCTCTTACAATATACTTGATATATATAATGGATTATAAAAATAAATACAATTTTAACTGTTCATTTTTATGAAAAAATCATTATCTCAATAAAATTATAACATTTTATATTATTTTTATTTTATTATTTGTTACATTATAAAATGATCTAACTCTAAAAGTGCTTAATGAAAAAAATTATTTTTAAAAATTGGCTATATGTAATTATACGTAATAGTGAAAACATATATATATTTTTCTTCTTCTTTATAAAATTCTCTACAAATAAGTAATTGAGTGTCAATTTTTTAAGTATCTAATTGATAAAATAATGATATAAAAAATAATTTTCGAAGAGGGGTTTTTTTCATTACCTCAAATCTGCACCTTTAAAGGGGACTACCCTATCTTATAGAATAAAACCATCTATAAACATGTGAAATGATCACAATTGTGAATGGAGTTTCCCTAATAATTACAATCATTTTTGACAAATGTCAAATTTTATGCAACAATGGCGAAGTATATTATTATTCTGTTGTACAAACATTTTAGTTATTTGTATCAACTACACTTAAAAAATAATATACCAGTATTGCGAAAAAAAAAATGTTTTATTTACATATTACAAAATGTAATGTATATGCTTAAAAATTAAAAATAACGCTGTAGGTATCCAGTATTTTGAATATTAAAAAAAACTAACTTTTTTTACAATTTTTTGCATACTTTTATGTATTATTAAAATAACGCTGCAATGTAAATGATATTGATAAATAAATTTATTGTCATTAGAATATAAACTAATAAAATGATTGACTGGTTCATAACAAATTTAAACACAGTATTTTTTATCTATCTAACTAGTTTTTCATGATACAGCTCTATAGTAATCACAATTCAAAAACCTGACATTAAAAGAAGTGATTATGATGGTTTAAAACCATTATACACTTATCTTCTTTTTTCCTCGCATTAATCACTGCTACTTGTAGTCGGCCATCCTTATCCTAAATTTCCACTCAAAACGATCTACCCCCCACATCATCTACACTTACATCAGCTGTTCTCATATCACATTTCAATAACATCCCTCCATCTCTTTTTTGGTCTTCCTTTACCTCTTCTTCCTTCAACATTTATTAATTACTTTTACATTAATAATTTAATGGAACGTTAAAGAAAATCTAAATGAGATATATTCAGGAGTATAATTTTAAACAAAAATTAATTATTTCTAAAATAACATATATTTATATTTATTAAATATGTACTATAGTTCTTTATAACATTGATATTTTTAGTAATTCCTTTAGTACTCGTAATTTTCAAAAATGAGTTTCATTCTATTCATAAAACCTGTAACAAAATCAAGTTTTACTTTTTCAAATTATTTATTAATAAATATTTAAAAAAAATAAAACTAAAATCAATATTTTAGAACACGTAAAGAAACAGCACGTGCCAAATAAAATAAGTTATGCATATAATTACATTCATCGAATAAAGATTTTTAATATAATGACAAAAACACAAAAAAATGAAAAGCAGAGGAAATTATTTTTATTGAATCTAATAATATAGTATAAAATTGCCAACTATCAAATTTAAATAATTTTATTTTGAATTTATTTATCAAGTCCAACAGTTAATTAATTTAAAAAAAATGTTAATCATACCGTAATCTAATAATTACTTTTGAAGTCTATGCAGCCATTTTCGTTAGCTCCTCTACTAAACAAGAAGTCATTTAATTGTTAGTCAGTTATTTTCATATCATTTCATTTCTAATAATTTGCGGACTAATGATATAGAAATAATGTCTGTTCCGTTGAAATAAAAGTCAAGTAAACTTTCCAAAATGTTATCTTTCTCGTCAGTAGAAATGTTTTCTTCTTCAAGAATATTTTCTTAAATTATTTTATTAAACATATCAAATTTAAACTTATTTTTTCTTCTAAATCTATCCCATACAGACTATACTAGCAATAAATATTTTAGATTGTTAATGAAAACTGTGAATTTTTTTTTGTAAAGGAATGATTTTTTAAACTCTAGCCACTCGATTTCTCTTAAAATAATATTTAAGTTAAAAAAATTATTTTTTAGATTTATATATTTTTCGATTTATCATTTATTAGTTAGCTTTTTAATTCATTCCTAAATAAGAAATCTTTAAGCCTTATACGAGTTTCAACTTAATTTTAGCTTCGATGCTGAGGAGTATTTTTAAATAGTGACATAAATATTAAATTACCTTATAATATAAAAAATAATCTAATTAAAATATTTATTTGATGATGAAAATTTTGATCTACTATTTCGGAATTTATTACCATTTGAAAATATTCGTATATATGTGTATTATATGTAGACTGGAGGTGAGGTACTGTTATAATTCAAAAAAATATTAAAAGGCAAAGTTGGTAAAATATAAATGATGAAAATGAGCGATGGGTGGATATTTGGGTTTAGTGAGAACCTGATGTTGTGGTTCTATCGGGGTCGTATGGTTCGAGGGTTTAGAACAATAAAGACAAGTAGATATGAAGAAATAAAAGCATGTCCTCTTTCTTGAGGAATATGAGCTAATAAACTTGTAAACACCTTTAATAGGACACTGAGGTAACGGGGCGGTAATCCGACCCTCGAGACCCTGTAATGTGTATATGTAGCAGGTGTGAACAAACTAGCAAAATAGCTCTTGATATTAAAAGGAGATTATAGATCTATTGCTTTATCGTTCTTTACTCAGATTATTAACTTTAAATAAATGGAATAATATAAATTGACTTACCTTCGTATTTTTTAATGTCCAAGAAGATAAATGAAGTATTTACCAAAAATGCCAATTCTTACTCAATATTATTTATATATGGTAATAATGTCTTTATAGACCAAAATAACTTTTAAAGACAAATAAAGTAAACAAAATAAAATAACTCATACGGCAGCACGGGGCCGTGATCAAAATGTAGGAGCAGGAGCGAACTAGCTTACTGGAGCTTTGGCTCTCTGTAGCCGTAGTTCTGTGTCAGTAGCTCTCACGCTCTCTGTGGCTCTGGCCTTAGCCGTAGCCGTGGCTCTGTCTTTTCAATGAATATCAGTGCTTTTTGTAGTACTGAAGAGGTACCCCCATATCCAGGGATATTGCCGTTTGTGTTATTCATGATTATATTTTATTGTTTTATAGTATACATTACATGATAATTATATTGATAATTTAGTTGACAATAGATGAGTTGACATATATGTATATAATAAGAAATTGTGTTGAACATTGTATTTGTTATGACAGATAAATTATTTGTTTGTTTACAAGTTATTTAAAATACAGATTATACTTTTTTATTGATAATTGTGAGATGCGTAATGCAAAGTATTAAGCATATCACGACAGTACGGGTATAATAATGTTTATCATTAATCAATATCTTGGTCACAACTCTCCTCTCGCCTATTGATAAAAATGTTAATAAATTCAAAGTACTGGTTCAAAAGTTGTTACTGACCATCCAATTTCTTACTTAGATTATTTTTTATTTTATAAGCTAGTAAAATATATACAGAGTAGAACAGATCTAACTGGCAACTCATATTACTTATGATCAACATAGCTATATGTACTTTATACTTTATACTTTATACTTATTTATACTTTATAAATTTTTACAATGTAGGACTACGTTTAAAATATGTTTTATGCTATTTTCGCAATTACAAAAAATGTTTTGAAATTTAATTTTTTTTAAATTTTATTGATCACTTTAAAAGAAAATTGTCGATACTAAACTTATGTATATACAGCATTTTGAATTTAGTTAAATTTTGATTATTTTATGATTTTTCAATAGTATTAAATGTTAGTCCATATTATATATAAGTGTTTGCCATTGTAATGAATCCACCAATTTTTATAAAATTTACATGTATTTAACTTACATGAAGTATAAATGTATATTTATTTTGATTATTTTGTCTCCTTAAAGTTAAAATTTGTAAACTATCTTAAATTGTCACTTTTATATATTATTTGTGGAATTTATGGTGGCTGCGTCGAATATAATACAGTTTAATTTGATTGGGTTACGAAGTTCGAACCACTTTCGTCAAACTATCTTTTTTTACATTTTGTCCTAATTCTTTTTTGAGATGAAAAATAATTCAAAGTTCGATTTGTATCTCATTTAAATCGAATAACTCCAATAAATATTAAGGATACCATTACTAGTTTCCCCATTAATTTTAAAAATTCAGACAAATATTTCAAAATTACGCTAGTGTTAAAAATGGCTACTTTAAAAAAACCTTTTTAAATTAAATATCTCCAAATTAATAGAAGTATAAAATTCGTTTTTATACTGAACTACACAGTAAAATCATAAATTTGTTTATGATCATAGACCAATATATATTTTATTAAACCAAATTTTTACGCCGATTTCAAATCAGAAATTAGATTTTTTCTATCAACTCTTTTTTGAGATTATTACTAATTAGAAACACATGAAAAAACATTTTTTTATCAAGTTATTATTGATTTCTAATACGTTGAAAATAATCTGTGCAAAATTTCAATTCAAAATGACATTTTTAACTTATTCTTTAAAGTTGATATTTATAAAAGTTTATAGTTTAACAATGTCGAACTTTTAAACACAATTTTAGCTTAACTTGTAAGTTTAGAATTTATATCATTAAATAGAAAATTTTATGTGAAATAAAATATCCTATTTTTTTGATTGATATGTGGTCAGAAAATGTTTCATTGAAATAAATAATTTAAATATAAGTCTTACTAAGTATTTCTATGCAACTCTTGGTGTTTAATTAATTACTCACATTGATATACTGCACATAATAGATGCGTTGATGATGTTGACCAAAACCGTTATGAAATTTCTTATTTAAAAAGAATTTTGGGTGACACATTTATATATCCTCATATACAAGATACAGACAATGTAACAAAAGCAGATATTGAGATGTGGTTATCTAAACCAACAGCAACTGACAACACCAAACGAAGTTGTTCGGTTTTAACTTTTCCTAGTATATCATTTAAAGACTATAATATGGGTTAATTACATTTAAAAGACTGATAATTTACTTTGTTATTTTTAATATTTTCAAGTAGGTATGTAAGTAATTATCTACTTTTAATTTTTCAAGAAAAACTGTTGTTTTATATTTTGTTATTTATCTATAAGAAATGAAAGACTTGTTAATTTACTTTGTTAATTTTCTGTTAACAAGTAGGTAGGTAACAACCTATTTTTAATTTTTCTAGATAAACTATTATGTTTTATATTATATAAGTACCTATTAAGAAAATGTATTAAAATAATATACTTTTACTTATTGGAAATTTTATGTGTGTTAACTTTTTAATATGAAGACTCATTCAAATGTGCCCCGCATTAATTAAAATGTAGCCCTACCATGGGATACATTTGAATAAAAAAGTAACTTATATTTAACATTTTATAATAAACTATTATTCAATGATATAGATTTTAAACAGTTACAGTGTGATGTTAAAATATTATGAGAATCTAACAGGATCATTATATTTCAAATTAAATGCAAAAAAAAAAATTAAAAATCAAAATGTAATTTTCATTCAAATCTGCCCCAGTCTCCTCTACCTTCTGCTTGTTATGTGTTTTCTATATTAGTAGGATTTTGTTATTATTTAGTCTATATGCGAAACTCTAATTGCAGATTTTTAATATGCGCGAAAATGGGTTTAGAAAAGTATGATTAATCTCTAATAAAAATTCCTTGTAGGCCAATAAGTAAAAAAAAATTTTTTTTTTAAAAGTGTTACATCAAACCCTTTAACCTTTATACATGTTTGCAATAAAAGTACTACTACTTACTAGTAGTACTTTTACTACTACTACTAAGTATATAAAGTACTACTTTATAATTTCTCCGTNAACCACATTATAAATTTTTATAATATCTCCGTACAAATTACAATACTAAATTATTAAGTATCAATTTCATACTACGTTGAATTGCTTTAATAGATATTTATTCATAAATTATACTTAAAAATCATTGAATTACTAATTAGGAATTATGATAGAAACAGGAGTTAATTTTGCTTCTAGAATAATCAACCAATATCTTAAAATTAAAGATTATCTACAGATTTGCATCGAAGCGTTTTTTATGATGGTGATTTTAATTATTGCCAAGTATCATTTATACTTATCCCACTAGTCCATGACTCTACCGTGCTACCGTTTTTTCAAATATTAAGGTCTACATTTTAAGATGTATTCATTTTTATGATATGTATATTGTAGTATACATTTTTTTATATTTCTTTTAATTTTTATTTATAATAAAGTATTAATCTTATAACTACATAAATTAACTTTTCTGTGACTTATTTATTGTTCATTGTTAAGGTTATAAATTAAAAATTGTAAGTTGTCTCAACAACCATTATTAAAAAGTATTATTTACTAAAAGTGTTTATTCAGCTAAAACTATTAGATTTATTATATTGTATTATTAGTCATATTATGACTATTGATGAAATTGATTTCCATTGGTATACAGGTAAATCATATTTATTAATAGAAAAAATCAAAGCACAGTGAGGACAAGTATATGTGTTGTCTTACAATATTTTACATCACATCCTAAAAAACGGTTCGTTGCAAATTTGTTTAATTGTAAAAACTTAACGACCATTTTCTTAAAATGAAATTGTGGGATGATTTTTTTAAAATTTTGTAGCATATTTTAAAAACTTAAATTAGATATAGTTTAAAATTTGTAAGACGTTCCGAAACATTTTCAAAAATTGAATTTAAAAGAATTTTACATGCATGGGTCTATTTTAAACTATTCCTGTATTTTCATTAGATTTCATTATATTTTTATAAAAAAAGCATATCAAAAGAAAACTTATTGTGTATTTTATATTCTATTAATTTTTTTTTTTAATTTATTTAAAAATAATAACTAACTCGAAAGCCATAACAATTACTAAAAATTTAGGAAATAAACTTTATGTGTCAAACACATACTATGTCTTTAGTGAACGCGATTTTTTAATCATTTTTGTAGCATTTGAGTTAATTATTTTTAAATTTTTTAAATTTTAAATTAATGTTTTAAATATATTTTTCATTTCAAATACTATTATATACAAGTGATTAATTTTTATTATGTAGACTCCATAAAAATACATTAATTTTTGGTAACTAAAATATTATAAAATTATTCCATAGATTTTTTTTTTTATATTTGAAAAATTATATGTTTAATTTTTTTCATAGAATATAATTATAGGAAAGCAAAAATTTATCCTCCCTAAAAGTTTTTTTTACCCTATATATATGATATTTTGGCATATATACTACTACTTGTACTAATTTACTAATAAATTATATGATTTTTCAACTTAATTTATTAAAAATAACAACGGATTAAGTTTAACTATTATTTCGTTAACTTTATTCAATATACTTCTTTTTAACGAGTTAAAAAAAATTATGAACTTGCCCAGCCTTGAAAAGCATATCTTTTTTTTCCTCGCCTTAATTCCAACTAATTGGAAAAGTACAACGACTACCCTTTAAAAGTAAAGAAGTATACAAACAACTTTGTTGTTTTTATAATTTCTCCGTATAATGATTGAATATCAATTTCATATTAATTTTAATTACTATAATTAGTATTTATTCATATAATAGACTCTTAAATTAAAGAACCACTAATCAAGAATAATTAAGGAAATAGGGGTTATTTTGCTATTGCAAGTATCCACCAATTTCTTAGAATTAAATACAATTAACAGATTTGCATTGGAGCGTTTTTTATAATAGTGATTTTAATTATTGTCAGATATCATCTCTACTTATTCAACTATGCCGCGACCCCACTATGTTATCGTTCGTATTAAAGGTCATGATATGGTCCATATCATGATAAATATCTTTAGAATATATGTTTTATAATAATTATGGACATGTTTACATTTAATAAGAATAAAATTGTGTTCAATATTAAAAACCACTGTTCCAATCTATCAAAATAAAAGTAG